TTTAGTCTTATCTCTGTATCCGGAATGGTTGGTTAAAAGCATTGATTACATCACAGAATAGAAGATAAGCCCATATAACAATTGAATAGTGCATACTAATAGGATTGCAGAAGACTTGTTTTGTTTGTGTCAAGGATAACTCTCATGTTTCCAACCTTTCGTTGCCGTACAACTTATGTATCGGAAATTGTTCCTTAAATTAAAAAAAAGTAACAAAATTCTGCTACACAAACATATTAGCCCCTTTCAAGGTTCTATATTATACTTATTCAGAAAAACACAAGAACAAGTTGAGTTAAGAACGTTGCTTTACGTGCCATTTAGCATTAAAAAGTGTTCTGATTACTGTAGGTCTACTCAACAAAATCTATCAATCTTTTGTGCAATCCAGGATCCAGGGTTCCGTCAGTAAAGCAGATCGAAGGCCTAGTCATTCGGATTTGACAAAAAATCATGCGCCACAAGCAGTGCACATTCAAGATCCATTCCATGTATTCATTCCCCGAATTCAGAAAAGAACTATTTCTTAGTACCATAAGACTATCAATTATTAATAGAATAACAGGTTTATATCATCAGTCACGTGATGGTATATAAATAGTTTAAATATAAAAATAGCTATCAATAATTCATCGTCTTGGAAACTAATTAATTATCATATTTCTTAATTAATTAGAGTTTTAATAGCATGTAGATATCGTACTATCTTTCCCCGTGGACGTATTTAAATAAAAGGTAATGAAGTTGTACGTCTTAGTTTTATACTCCCATATAACCATTTTCTATGGGTCATCACTGAAGTTGAATGATGTATAAAAAAATACCACAGAATCCTTGGTGGATTCAGATGGTAGTATATTATATATTATATATGTATATTGTTGTTCAATTGAATTGAGAACCCAGTACGAACAAATTGACAACGAACCCTTTAGAATTCTCATTGGTGACGTATATAGAGTTAACAGTAGCACATCATCACTAGTTTTTCATGTGAATGCTTCAAAAATAAAGTTAACTGTCTGTATATGTATTGAAGTTTTGATTTCTCTTGTATATACCTTATAATTATAGCAACGTATATAGAATCATAAATCAATAGTCTATAAATCTATATATTCAATCAATATTAACTACTTATCTATAGGAAGAATTTTATACTACAGTGTTTCTATTCAGATAATCCTTATATGTATTCTCAGTACTACTGTATCGGAATTGCATGCTTAGCCTGATCTCTTTGCTGGTTTTCATCAACTTTCACCTCTGGAATCCATCTTTATAGAACCTGAGCTCCGCGTAAATGCTACCGCAAGTGACAGTGCCAATGCCAGCAATAGAACATCATAAAATATATACCGAAAATTTGAAAATAACTTTCTATAATTCCGGTATCAACTTTACAAAGAGATGTCACGTCACGTATGATTTTAAACTGACCTTTTCATTCACAGTATTTGCATGTTATATATCAGGATGTTCTGTCTGACATTCCTCTTTCTAAAAGTAATAGTTCGCATGGAATTCCAGGAATCTGTGTTGCTGTATAAACAGATCAAGGTAAGAATCAATATTAGTCTAATCAGACCTGTAATAATACAGATGGATAATTCTATTGGTAATTAGTAATGGTTTTATCATGTCTAATTATCTATTTAACTTCTTCTTTGTATCAGATAATAGAATTCCCCGAGTTATATATTTATATCAGGATGTTTACTCTTTATTCTGTACACATCACCAGGGTTGAAAACAGTTGGTCGATTGATCCTTCATCAGTAAATATTATATGGAGAAAAGAAAAACTAATCAAAACTGGAAACATGTAGACCAGATACCTGTATTGGCACTAGGTTGTCGACAAAAGTTATTTTATTTTAATTAAACTTTGATCTTATACACAGTGGCGTAGCCGTAGCATGTCTTATTTTGGTACACGACGACCAAACTTTAGAAGTGTCCTTTTTCAATTACATATTTGAATTCCATCCAGACTCCACTTTGGTTCATTTTGACTTGTATTGCGCCTAAAGTTTGACCTCGAAACTTTCTTGGGAAACGACTTCAACCACACCACATCATAAATGCCAGTGGGCCTACATCAAGGTCGGAACGTCGCATTAAATATTTTTTCAAACAAATTTTCTTCGGTTGCTGTGCTGCTTTATTTCATTATTAAGTCTTGATGGGAAATATTTTTATACCTTTTCTCCGGATTTTGTACACCATACAACAAAATGAAATAGACCCATTTTCTTGATATTTCGACGCTCCCTCTGAAGAAAAATACTATCACCATTCTAATGCGTTTTGAATATATGCAATGAAAGGGAGACAACTAGTATAACTGACAAATTTCATTTGAATTATTTTAAGACATTACAGTAGCATTATGAGGCATAGAGAACAAGAATGTCAAGATCTTCAACTCGACCAATGGACATGCAATTTACAAGGATCTCCTACAAACACTATAGTGCTTATATTCTCCTTCTTATCTGTTGTAAATTACGACATTTTAAAATGTATTTCTCTGCCACTGCGCCTTGGGAGAGCTTGAAAAACCTCAATATTATTGTGGTCTTATTATATATAAGATCACCTTAAGAAATTCGGCTCCTACCACATGTCTAAAGTCAAGTTGCAACAATATTTATACTTTATAAAAAGAAAGTGAAATTATGTATAATCAATCACACTAAGTCGCAGAAATAGAGAAAAAACATACTTGCTCTAAACTTTATTAAAATATTCCCAATATACTTTATTTTCTATCAATCTGATTATACAGATACAGATCTCATGTTGGGTTTAAAGTTTAAAGGGCTGCAGTCATTGGGAGCGCTGAATTCGTGTAACCTCCTATACTAAAGTGCAAGAAATGTCAGCTTTTCCTCCGGCATTGCAGAGTGCCTTAGTAATGCGTTCATGATTTTCGATAACCTGGTTGGACGACGGTTTATTATCACATAACTGAAGGAATTCTCATGTCATCTTATATAAAATTAATTCTTCAGAGTTAAATGTAATATTAATGTGCTCTATGTGATGACACTTGACTATAAGTTCATCTGTCAACAATGAAACAGGCAGCAATAAATGTCTCTTTTGTCTTGCTGTAAGACACAACCTTGAGACAGTGATATAAGGTGACTTTTAATTCAGCATTTATTTCGACTGCAAATCCTGAATTTTCAAAATTTCAAAAGCGACAGATGAACTACATTACCGTAAGCAATAGGCTGTACAACTTTTTAGGAAATATATGTAGAATGTAGATGCGCTTTCTGTCCAGGGTACTATACCGCCAAATAACACAAGCTCTACTATTTCAACCACAAGTAAATTCGACTATACAGTCAAGATGTTCATGGAATTTTGAACAAATATAACTTTACAACTAAAATGGCAATGTTAATATAAAGAATAATGCCGACTTTAGAATATATAAGGGGGTAATATTATCATCGGTCAATGCCAAGGCAATTTCTGCTTATTTGCTTATGTTAGCCATCTGAAGTTGGGCCTCAGTTAAGATGAACAATCAGCACTAACAAATGTAATATTCCTAGTTTTTATATATATTTCATTTGATTTAAATTCAATTACACGTAACTTGTGACAGTTTAAATTGAGAAATGTCATAATAAATTGTCGTGTGTCACTGACAATGACACTGACGGATGTTGCAGTTTGCCTCATAGCCAATCATCCGCGATATCCTTATGGCATAATTTTCCGGTCTAAAGTTTGTAGTTCCTTGACAGTATTATTCCTGCTTAAGATTTTCTTAAAAAAAATTTAACCGAGGCCTTCATTAGCCCAAAAAGTTCAGAAAGGTAGGACGTAAAACTGCATTCATTTGATTTCATTTAAAAAGAAATCTGAATGGCGGAAAGATGTTTTACTAGATACACCTGTATAAAAACCTATTCAATAATGAAAAGAGAAACTCTTATGCTTATCATATGTCACAATTATTGAGTGGCAGGGACCATTGGTCAATGCTCTTAGACAGTTCCTCTTCGGATTTTTAGAGGTTTTTTTTAATTCCAAGAACCTATGGCATTTAACTGTAACATTACAACTAAGCCAAGATCTTCAAAGTCATAATATAAGGTCATATCAATCCTGGTTGACAAATCACAGCTGGACATACTGAGTTTATCTTCTAAATATAAACTGATTCATTCTGGTACTGAACAGGTTTGTCTACTTCCCCTTAAAACCATAAGAACCAGAAACAAACGTAAAAGACCAGAAAATCCTAAAACAGTCGATAATTTATATAAGAGAAATGTCAAAATCGCAGATACGTCATATGCACATTATTACATAAATGATATTTCTGTAGATTTTTCGTTTTCCTTAGTTTAGGCGGTCAACTTCGTGGAACAGTATAAATAAAAAAAACTTGCATTATAATAAGATGGGTACATATAGTTCTGTTTCGAAGAATAGTTGGTTCCAGTGAATGTTTTTTGTTGTTTTTACAAACACTTAGTCAATCCAAAATGAAATATTATGATACGAGAGTTGGTTGAAAAGTAGGTTTGAAACAAACTTTTGCAATGAATAATGAAGTAATGAATCATAGGATTGCAACAGTAGTATTATTATTGTCTTGTACCAGAACATAATGTACACAATGCTCAACTTTACTGCAAGATAGGTGCCAAACCTCTTGACAGTGTATCAGAAACGTGTCAGTTTCCTGGCGACTTGCGCTGTGGGGAAATAAGTTATGCTTGGAATTTTTCATTATCTGCCGTGGATAATCCTATAGTATTTTAATCTTGTTGATATATAACTGATTATTTAAAACATCGGCATATGAAAATTATTTAAAAAAATTAAAAGAATAATTTATCATCCAATGAGACCTACAACATCGAGATTGCTCGGCAAGATCATTATTGAACTTGAATTGAATATATAAGTAAAAGGGGGAAAACCACCACCTCGGTTAGTCTAACAAGGTGACAAACAGACAAACATACCCTTGTGTCCCGCGGTAAAGATTCTGCTGATAATTCGTCCATACCATCCATAAAGCCACTTCCAAAGAATCCACTAGAATTTGTCCGAGCTGATATTGGGTCTATGTATTCAATAGAAACACGTCTCTCTGATAATGGTCGGAAATTTCCACTTGAATTCCTGCGTGATGCCATTTTAGAAAAACTTTCATTCACAGTGGGTTTCATATTAGCAGGCAGTGCCACAGAATTTGAACGTTTATTCAACAAAGACTGGAACTTTGGTAAGGTTTGTAGAGAAGCTGGTCTCGGTAGATCTTTGGATTCGTTAACATACGGACATTCAATAAAGCTAACGCAGGAACTCTGTCTCTTCAAGTGACCATTTTGCATGGTATTGAGTTGACCACTCGACATGGACTTCCTGAAAACTGACTTTTTCCGATCGTTCCTTATCTCTGGAACCGTGTCTTCCATCTTGGCTGAGATGTTCTAGTCTCCTGAAAAAAAGGTTAGTTTCAGAGATAATATCGTGTTCTGTTCTGTATGTGAGTTTGTTAAGAATTGGTAAAAATGCTCACTATCACATCGACATGGACACAAAGTAAGGTGGTACAACCTTCTTCAATTTGAGTGTCACATCAACCAACAACAGCCACGACCTTTCGAGTCGTACGTGAACATAACCTTGGCACACGGTCATAAACACTTCAGAAGTTAATCTAAAGAAAAAACATGCACATTTATATTATATAAACCAATTGGTGTCGAAGAGCGTGCATTGAGCTTACTTTTTTCAAATGGTACTCAGATTCTTGAGAAATTGATTTATCCCACGAAATTTTTTGCATAATGTTTGTGTATGACTACGCAATTCCTATGATGTGGAAAGTCCCGCCTCAAATTTGACAAACACAATGAATATTGAAGAATATGCATAAATTAGAACCCTTGTTTATGACAACCCGATCTTATTAACGAATCTTAACGTCACAAGAGTAATAAATATAAACTGATAAACATATTTTTTTGTAACGTTGCACCCTATATTTCTTAAATCATATGCAGACGACAAGTTTGCAAAGTGCAAAACCTGATTTGAAAGGTTTATAAAAAAAAATGTTCAGAACACCTTAAAACAATAACTCTAACTCAAGTTTTAAAGCTTTGAACGTTATGCTTGATTGAAAGCTTTATTTATGAACAGCATTTCATACTTTCATAGAAAAAACATATTGAATCAGACGATCATTTAAATATCGCTTTCAGAGCAAATGCAGGAACCCTTTTGACTGAAGCAGCAGAAAAAAAATGCTGACAGTGCTCGACAACTCAAACAACTGCAGTGTGCAGTTTAACTTTTATTTCTTACCGTTGCCTAGATGAGATCCATCAGAAACACTGAAACCACTTTGTCTACCACCCACAACACAAACACCAACAGCTCACTGTTCACCACATTGTAGTCAACACACCAGATACTTGTAACTTTGTTAGCTAATAAACATTAATTATTTCCTTCAAAACTTAAATTTATGAGTTTGCTTCACATATCAGAATGTGCAACTTCAAGAATGAAAGATACCTTGATATTCTCAATTAATGTAGCGCCAAACGTTATAAACTTGTGTAGGCCTACAATAAAGCACATTAAATGCAGTAACTGTCTTCAGTGTATAAAATAACATTAATAACTAAATGTATAACAATTAATTAAAACATTTTCTCGACGTATTTTAGAGGATGTTTAATTATGAAGTTGTATAATTTATATATAAAAGAAAAAAGGTAATAAACGTGTCCATTTTCATAATAGAAACAAATACATCAATTGTTCATCATAATGAGGGCCACGAGAGGGGCGTGGTTAGCCAGAGTAATTAGTGTATTGAAACTGCAGCTGAAATGGGCCTCGTGCAAAGCCTAGAGGCATTTGTTAAAACAATCAGTAATTTGTTCGTAGAAACAAGAACATGAACAAGACGTCGGGTCAAAATATGCTCTCCGCCTCAAGATAATCTCACATCTTTGTTTGATGGACTATTTTGTGTCAATATGAAATGAAATGTTGAGTTGATAAATGTAGTAACAGAATGTAATCTCAGATAGAAAACCAAGATTCTTTTATGTCAATCAAAGCTATACCTTAATTTCATCAACTGGCATGATTTCAGAATTCTTTTCAACAACAGCACACAAAGATAAAAAAAAACAGATACCCACTTGGGTGGATAAAAAAACGATACAAGCATTGCGCGTATGGGTTTCCAAGATGCTTTACAGCGACCAATCTGCTCAAAAATGGTCTATATACACTCCTGGTAATATATTTTGCGTAGCAGATTGTTGAATTGATTGTGTCGCCGTTTTCATATATTTAATATTCAAACGATTTGTCATATTGACAGTTAAAAATTTACGACGATAAAAAAAACCTTATTTGACTAAATATGAATATATTCAATACATTTTGTACTATATTTTTTTTCATTTCCGTGCCTTATCCTTCTCTCCTGCCAAGTTAATTCGTGCCAATTTAGACGACCTAATTGATGACGTCATAAATAAGAAATTTCACAAGGAAAAATTGAACGATGATTTTCCTCTCAAAAAGTAAACGAGAGGATAAAAAAAAGTGACAGTTTTGACCCAATTTCTATTGTTTGGTAAATAATATACAAATATTCGACTATTGTATGGAGAAATTGTGGTCATTTCATTCATCTTTTAACGTTGAACGTAACAATATATATTTACACATGATAATATTGAGGAACAAATATCGTAAATGTTATTAACCTCCCAAGGTTTTTTAGCAATATTTCCCCAGCTCTTATTGTGTAATAGAAATAGCAGTGCGCACCGATATATTTTTCATAATTAAAAATAACATAATATGATTTATACAATATTGGATATCTGAATCTGAAAGTTCATTCTCTCTTTTGACAAAATTGAGAAATTTATGGACAAAAGGGGAAGAACAATAATTAACGTTTTTTCGAAGCTGGCATATACTAATAGGTATATTCAAAAATAATACTATTATCTTAAAAACAAGTGTTTCCTTCCACAATCTTGATCATGCAGATCAAGTTTACAACTGTCTCTATCTTGCCTAGGAGTAATGGACGGTTGACAGTAAGAAAGTCATTTTGGCCAATATAAACTGTCATAAGGACAAACGTCTGTCAGACATATTCATTAACTTAAGCCTTGAAAATTCACGACACGTTTTTGACTTTCTTGACCCCAGAAATATTCCATGAAAATAAAAAAAAAGAGATAAAATAAGTTTGATTTACCTACTTACATCATAGTATTAGACGTTTATAATTTCGTTTTCAATCAAGCCATGACATGATGGTTTTATGATAGTTTGATTGTAAAACATGGTAATTCTGATTGCTTTAGGCTCGAATAGCATAATTTATTACCGTCAAATGTATTTAGATATAAACTTGACAACTTAATCTAGTACAGCCAGTTCGTTTACTTCATTTAATTGCCATTTCCCTATTTTTTTCATTTTTTTAAATTTTTAAATTCTGTCACTTCTTAGAACTTCTATCAATTTATTTTTCACATATTCAATTTGTTTTGTCAAGTTAACTTGTCAATTTCTAACTTGACGAAGCCCCCCAGGCATTAGCTTATTTATAGAGAAACAATTTCTAAGGGGTATGACGGTTGACAATAGATGATTTGGCCTGCATAATGCGCCAATCTACATAAAATATATTCTGGATATGTTAATGATGATGGTATCATTAGAAAGTTAGCCTATAGGTCGGTTGAAGTTATTGGTTATAAGTTAACAAACAGGCTCTGAAGTTCAAGTAACTTCTTCGGGTGACAATTGATAATTGGAAAATGAATAACTGGATACTATCATATTCTATAATAATAACTTGCAACGTTTCGATGAAGATACTCCCGTTTTTATTGATCATAAGCATTTCTCGATAAAGGAAAGAATATCATCGTCGTAACGTCGCAAATAATGAAATTTTACAATTTAGGTACAATTTAATAATTTAAAAATATACAAAACTGTATTTCGTACACGTGGAAAATTACAATGTCATCTACTGCACAAAGTTAATTTGCAAAATATGTCATTCGTCCATAACAAATAACTGACCCAAATGTACTACTACTAAGGTAATGACTTATTCTCTTTAAAACCATGCCCAGATAAGGCAAATGTTTAAATATTTCAATCTACTAATACCACGTCTGCAGTTTGCAAGCTGACAGAGACTTGTTGACTTTCAACCAGATATTTTTGACATCATAAAAACTATGACAAATATAGTCGACAAACAAGTTTACAGGGTTAAATTATTTTTATTATTTGAGCTTTATATCATTATGTTATGATTTCATATTTTATAATTTATTACACCCAATAAAAATGATAATGTCAGCGTTTACAAATTATCATTTTCAAGGAGTATTCTTCTACTCAAAACACTCTATGTATGTATAAAGATTATTTTTGGAAATATAGTACACTAACAAGGAGTGGTCATCGTAAGTCATCAAGTCCCCCAGGACTTTAGAGTATGACCAGTAAGATATTCTCACAAAGACATGTATACTTTTATATCATACGGTTTTCAAGCTACACATCTCCACACTATGTTGTATGATAAAACGTTCAGTTTGAATGCATGTCTTTTAAATTTGTGAATAAAACGTGTTTCCTTTGAAAATATACCTTTCTTCTCATCGTCACGTGCTTCAATTTTTGAAAGCTGTAACAATATATAAAGTAATAGTTTAAAAATAAAATATAAACAAAACTTTAGAAAAACTTAGAAAAGAAACCACAAGCTAGATCCCCGTTTCCGTATTCAGTTTTTAAGTGTAGATATATCAGGGCGTAAGGCCTGTCTTTAAATTTAAACTGTTACTTCAAACACACTAATTGCGATTTCAATTTTAAAGATTAGAAAAGATTTTTAAGCGAAATGTGATCAACTTCTATAAAACCGTATCAAGGCCTACTTAATAAAGATAAGTTCAGATCGAGTGCTTATTAAATTCATTTCGTCGGATCCGTTACAGTCATCATTAGCAAAACGCTAAAATCAAGAAATTGACCGTCTATCAGCAACTGTAATGTACCTGATGATACCAGATTCTGACTGCTCTGTTCGACGACACGATCCATGTATTTTTAGAAAGTAGAACATGATTTTGATTTTTTCAGCCCATTGTGCGCAAGTCAACTAAATCCAGAAACTCGTTAAATTCCCATTTCAGTCGTTGAAAAACCAACTGCTCTCAGATTGACATTCAAAAGGTCGAGACATAGGATTAATGCAACTTGAATTTTATTGTTACTCTAAGTAATCTGCGTAATTGAGACCACATAGTCAAGTCATGTCAAGTCACATTACTTTATGGTAATTCTGAAAAATATGAGCATTTGTTAAAAGTCCCAATATTTCCTATTTCTAATTCGAATA